CCGCCTGCTTCGCCACCCCCTCTCCGCCGTTCGTCGCGTACTCGCCGCCAAACTTCTTTTTATGGTGTTTAACTAGGGCGGGGGAGTGATGTAGCCCCTGCATGTACCGCCGGTCACCGCTAGGCGCGTTTACTTCCACCGGTCGCCGCTAGATGCTGTGAACCGCGAGTTACAGTTTTGTTAACAGGTGTCGCTTTCACCAGTCTCTAAATTGCTAAAGCCTTCGATTAAGTTGTGCGTCCCCCTTTTAACGTTCCGTTCGCTTAAACTGCTGTATTGTTTGGACAATTGTATTGGCTATGTGTATATTAAAAACCATATGTATTCGTTTATTACATTCGATGTTCTCGCCAACATGTGTGCAATACTAGATAACTAAGTTCGTATGTAAAACTATATATGTCTCGATTTTGTGGCGAAATACAAGAGATATCTGTATATTACAGTGTTTCTACTGGCTACACCAGCCAGAGGGCCCTTAGCGGTCAGACACAGACACTAGTGGTTATTCACAGGAGGCCCCAGGAAGTAAGAAGGACCCTAGCTGTCAGGCTGGTCACAGGCCCTGAATGTCCTGACGTGAGTTTTGGATTCCCTTGAATTTCTTTCGCCTCCGACGTAATTTTGGCCCCGTGGCCTTCGGCCCACGGGGGCCTCCTGAAAACACCAAGGAAGGGGCGCCCCGTCCCCCCCCCCTTGGGTACGTCCCTGAACAATTGTCCTCATCGTCCGTCCTACCGTCCGAGTTCCACCCACATGGCCTTGCACCCACTCCAAAACAAACGAAACGAAGCTGTCGAGTGTCGCGCCTTTGTTTTGTTGTGTTTTTCTGCTTTCTGCGCCGCTTTAGCGTGCGCTCGGCATCCGGAAAAGATTATTGTTTGGATATTCTCGGCCGAAAAAATATTGGTGAGTGCCTATCTTCAGCATGTCTCGTTATCGCGATACCGAACCGTAATCCCCGATAATTATCGCTGATACCGGATAATTTTCCCTGATTATCCGGATGCCGAACGCACGCATAGTAACATCCAAAGGTTTTGTGATGTATCGTCAGCTGGTTATGCCTACGATGGCGTCAAATCCGTAAAAAGGATTTGGCCTTTTTCTGAAGGCGGGACATAAGAGATATCTTAGAAAAAATATAAAAAAAAACAGTTAAAAGTTAGTGAACGTGCATTTTTTTACAAAAATGTTTAAGATATTGCCTGTTTATTTTTATTCATTTTGACGTTATCATTATTTAAAGATTTAACATAATCATAAACATAATCAGCTGACGATATTTCACCGGCCTTGACTACAGACGGGTTTACATAGGGTTTGTTGCAAGCTTATATCTCCGTCCGTGATGTTGCAAAAGATGCCAATGGTGCTGAACAATTTACAAAATGATCCCCTCTAAATATTTGAAGACCACTGCATCGAAATTATCGCCAAATAAACGAGCTAGAGCCTCGTCAAATATGCTATGTAAACCGGGTTTACGTTCGGGAGGTGAGATTGAGATAACTGATGCATTATTTTCGTTAAGTTTGTGTGTACTCGTTTGTGTACACGATCTGGAACTATTAAGAATAAAATTAGGTATATAGTTTTCGAGTGATATGCAGAATGCTTGGTTCTTGTAAAATACCGCAACCGAAGTTGCTTGGTGACGCCTGCTGTACTGGTGTTCTAACATCAAACATGCTGACCAATTGATTATTTCAGGCTTGCTAAAACCACAGTTGATTTTTATGTGTAGGTACCTTACTGGTCTTGTTTTGCTAGTATGTTCTTTCTAATGACTCGAAAGTCATTTTATAAATTAAATTTACTCCCTCCATTGCAATGCACATTTTCAAAGCCCCCAGTTAGTTTAAAGGTCAAAATTGGGTAGTCGTAAAGCAGAGAGGCGCTATACCCAGACTCCAGAGATGCTTTCTAATCGGACCAAACCAAACCAAACCTAACCTAACCTCACCTAACCTCACCTACAACTTACAACCAAAAACCTGCAACCTACAACCTAAAATCTACCACCTAAAACCTACAACCTACAGCCTAACCTAACAGCGTCTCTCCTTGGTTGCAAGAAGTGTGACGCCTGCTTTACTAATACCCAAAATTGTACTATTTAACCTTGCCAAGTTGAGCCTTCTTTGATTTGTCCGTTTATCATGTTGGGGGGGCTGCCTAGCAAGTTGGGGGGGCTGACCAGCAAGTTGGGGGGGCTGAAGCCCCCCCAACTGTATAGGATCCTACGCCCCTGACATATTATGTAGTTATGCTGATCTTCTTTTCCAGTCTTTGATTATCACTTAATTTCATTCACTTTTGATGTAGTGAAATTCATGATCATTTTAATGACAAGCTACATTTGAAATGTATTGTTGCTCCCTTTTTTTACCATGCATATTTTTGTATCTTGTGAGGTCTCATATCAATATAGCAATAACAAGAGCAGTAACATGCATAGTTTGCTTGTGTTGTCATAACTTTGTACAATATTTCCAGCTTTATAATATGCAGCTACCTCACATTGGGCATCACACATCTATTTTTTCCTGCAGGAGGAAAAACACAGAGCCAACTAGTGACTCATGTTTGTGCTCCTATCACTTCACCCCTGGGGGATCAGTGCCTACACCCCTTGAGTATAATGGTCACCGAGGGGTGCTGTCCTGACATGTTCACTTTCTGTTGAGAAGGTTAGAACAAATACCATGTGTGTCATTTAGTTGCATATATAATACCTTCATGTTAAGTCTGCATTGAGTCTGAAGTCTGTAGCCACCCTTAATCCTAGGTTGTTGTGACCCTAATCTAGCCTGGGTGAATATCTTGCTGTACTTAAAGCACAGACTGCGCTACGCCCCGGCACGGCGGCCGGGGCGCCTCCCCTGGAAGAAAACGGCATCGGGGAGAGGGGACGGACGGCGAGGGGCCGGGGAAGGAGTGCGGCACCGTCACCCCACAAGCCGCCCGCAGCACCGCCGTTATTCTTGTGCCTCTTGGGCGCCGCCGACGCCCTGCGGTTGGGGAGCGCATCCCAGACGGGCGGGAGCCGGGAGGGCCGCCTGCGCCACCCGGCCGGCGAAGCAGCAGCCCGGCCAGGCGCGGCGGGCGGCTGGGTAGCGGCCGGACTGAGACGAGTCCCGAGTCGCTCCATGTCTGTCCCTTGCGAAACTAGTACCGCCGCCGTCCAGCCTTGATGGGTCACTACGAGGAAAAGGCGAGCCCGCTCCCAGTACCTGGCGTGGAGCTCCCGCGCGGGTACGCCGCCTCACCGATGGCCCCTGGTCTTCTCGCTCTCTCTCTCTCTCTCTCTCTCTCTCTCTCTCTCTCTCTCTCTCTCTCTCTCTCTCTCTCTCTCTCTCTCTCTCTCTCTCTCTCTCTCTCTCTCTCTCTCTCTCTCTCTCTCTCTCTCTCTCTCTCTCTCTCTCTCTCTCTCTCTCTCTCTCTCTCTCTCTCTCTCTCTCTCTCTCTCTCTCTCTCTCTCTCTCTCTCTCTCTCTCTCTCCCTCCCCCTCCCCCCCGGCGCCAAAACCGGCTCACAGCGGCGTTCATGTCGGCCGGGGCGAAATGATTTGATGAATTATTTCATAAAGGCATTTACAGTGACAAAAGACAAAAGTTCAACAAATTCTACGCATGAATCATCCAGTAGGTACTGGCTTCGAGAACAGTTAAAATGAAGATGCACAAGAAATCGTAATTTCCCAATGACATGACATGGCTGTCGCAATGCTTAGCCGCAATCACCTCTTTTTGTAGTTTAAATGGTAAGTAGTTTTTGAAATTATCCGATAAAAATCTAAAATTGATACCATATGAAAGACCAATCAATTCTACACATGAATCAGGGTGTATCTTTGAGAAAAACTTGAAAGTTTAGGTGTGATAAGAAAAACAAATAAAAATGAACCATTTCCCCATAGACTTTACATTGGCTCCAAAATCGCATGGATCCAGAATTTCTGGAAGTGCCCTCGCTACAACTGCACGTGCGCTGCGCTCGAAAATGATCACGTGACCAAATCCAGATGAGATCACCGTATTTATAGTCACCGTGGAAATTCCGAGATATACAAATTGCACATACTGGTACCCTTACTAAAGCCTGAAGAGAAAAAATTGATCGGTCAAAAACTCTAGCTCTGGCGTGATTGCAAACTTTTCTGAGGTAGGGTCACCAAACCGCCTCTGGTGACCTGACCTGAGGTCAGATCAACTCAAAATTTTCAGACATGTTGCGTAGAAGCCTTTTAGGAAAAGTCAGAAAATTTGAGCTTCCTAGCTCAACGCGTTTGGGAGAAATAACCAAAAAACCTCGGGGGGGGGCTCCTGAGCCCCCCCCCGCCAGGAATAGGGTTAAATAAATGTAAAATAGTTTAAGCATAGGATGTCACGTGTTTTTCATGTATTTTGCTATCTGTGTCATGTCATTGTTTACCAATTGCGAACTACCTCAATTTTGCGACCGATACACCCCCGAACCCGAACCCGATAACGACTCGCTGACGATGTTTTGTAAGTACAATTCGAAAGCTCCAGCCCGAACGATTTCTTGTGGAGTAAAGTCCTCATTCACTTATTACATCAACAAACTCCACATCATGTCTTTAAGATAAAGCACATTATGGCCGGTGACACACTTTTGACGATTTTTTTTGCCATTTGACTTTTATCTCTTTGACTTTTTGTCGGTTTGACTTTTTGCTTTTGACTTTTTAAATTTTGACTTTTATCCATTGACTATGTATAACTGTGCCCTTTTGACTTTTGACTTTTGACTTCTTGATTTTTATACACTTTGAATTTCTTCCATTTGACTTTCATCCCTTTTTACTTTTTGCATATGCGATTTTGTCCGCTTACCGCCCGTAACGGCGGTGCGCCCCGCGCCCGCTGTAGTTCCAATCACTGCCCGATAGATGGCAGGCGCAGAAGTGGTCCCAGCTGTCCCGGAACACTAACAATTAATCAGTAAAATTTTCATGCAAACACCTCTAAAAATAAGTTTAAGACCTGTATTATGTTGACACATATGCCTCAGAAATAATCTTGTGAATATAGTTAGGTTTTCATGCAAAAGAACGACTCTGGCGAAAACAAAGGAGAATGCTCGAAGCATGTTGCACTTATGCAACCATGCTGCATTAAGTAGGCGTTGAAAACCAGTTACACCTCTCAACAAAAGACGCTGAGTTCACTGTTGAAGACGTGCATTGGTTCGGCAGTTGACACTCCAGAAGATGGACGCACGTGCTCCTGCCGTCAGTGGAAGTGAGACCGCCGCTCCCGTAGTTTCCCTGCTGCGTCAGAAGCGGTCCGCAGTCCCAGGGAGCCTCTCACTACTTGAAGTACTGCAGGTCACCTGAGAACCAGCAAAAAAACAATGACATGTTGATGCATTGCTTATCAGCTCACCAGCCTTAACCCGCGCACCGAGTCACCGACGGGGGTCCGCGCCAGCTTCGCACCGCCGCGCCGGGGGGGGGGGGGGAAGACGGATGACTACCCCCCCCCCCCCTGAGATCTCGAGAACGAAGCAAGGTAGCGACAAGCGGTAAACGGCATGGGATACGCACGGACAAGATCTAAAATTTTTTACAAAGGTCATTTTCAGGTCAGGTCAAAGATGACGCCACAGGGGACAAACGAGTCAAAATGGCGACGCTAAATATGAAGAGTTTTTCTCGACTCACTTTTGAAGTAGCCAAGCTAGGAACAAACTAGTGGCATATTCGTGATCCTCTCGTCAATATGCATCGAATGATATATATGTTGACCTCGAAAGGTCAAGGTCAAAGGTTGACCTCAGGTCACGTGAACTCGAGGTCATCAATCATCATGCATATTATTCGATGCGCCTTGACGAGCTGAACACACTGAAATTGTTCGCGCGGCTGTATCTCGAATATGTGAGGAGGCATAAGCAAAAAATTCGAGACCTTCCCAAAGCACTTTAAAGATTTTAAGATTGAGGTCAACTTTCGGGTCAAGGTCAGGTCAAAGGTCAAATTCTGGGGTTTTGCATGATTGGGCTTACGGACGGCGGAATCGATATCTGCTGCTCGAAACTCACCAAAAATGACCTCAAAGACCTAGTGAAGGTACCATGTGCGTATAGGGATCATACTAAGTACGGGTCAAGGTCAGGTCAGGTCACGAAAGGTAACGGTTTTCACTTTCTGCTACATGGGCGTGCGACACATGTTTTATGGCTTATTTTTCACGCCGAATCCGATGGTAATGGTTATATGTGACCCCAAGTCACTGTGCTGGTGATAAGTGTGCATTGAAAGCATAAAAAATCGTTTATACCATACATAACTAAAGGAGGGCTAAGAAAAAAAGGTCCATTTTTACAACCTTTTATTTTTGACATAAAAATGCACTTTTCTAGACGAGCTTTGTCCCAGGAATCTAGTGGTGCCATTTGTTTTCGCATGCTATGTTCAGAAGTGCCTCTAATTCACGAAAATGCTTATGACGTCACCATGCCCTATGCATGTCGGAGCTATTTTTACAATTTGGGGGTCAAAAATCAAGATAGAAAGTTGAAATTTGGGACATCTAATGTTCTAATAGAGCTCTACAACATATACTCCGGTTTTTTGGAAATTCTCAAAATTTTGTATTTTATTAGCTGTTTTCCAAAAAAATATAGTTTTTTGAATTTTTAGGGGTGAAAAACGCAATTTATGGAAAATCCGAGATAGCCATTTTAAAGAACTCGCTGAGATGCATCTATTCATGTCCTTAATTTGCCATTTGCTTTAAACCTTGATTTTTAGCGATTTTTCAAACATTTACCACTTTTTGACTGAAAACGCCATGTAGTTACATCACTAAAATCGATATATCTTTTTTAAAAAATGGAAACATTTTCTTAAAAAGTACACAGGAGACGTCAAATTGATGGGGGAGAAGGTATGCCAAGTTTCAAGTTGATAGCGTAAGCGGTTCATGAGTTATTCAAGAAAAACGGAGGGGGGGTCGGATCCGACCCCCCCCCCCCAGGCGGTCGCGGGTTAAGGGATGAAGGAGGAGATCTAGGGCAAAATAAATGTCATGTGTTCCCCGCGTCCCAATTGACCTGATAAAAGTTTTTGAAGCGATTCTGAATCCGAGCTGTATTCATAGCTGTTGCTGACGCTAACTTCACGTACATCTTATAATGGGGAGGTCAAGAAATTGACCTGACCTTAGGGCATCAGTATCAAAATTCTGAGATAGGTATACAAATTGTAGCTGGGTCATTCCACGTCAAATCGATCAGAATTTGGTACTTTGGACCCCTACCCCTTTCGATTTCGATGAAAATTGGTATGCTCGGGGTGCCCATGGAAGGCAATCTATTCAGCAAGTTTTAGTCCTGGGTGACCTCTGAGGTCAGAGTTATGGGTCATGAAAGGTCAACGATTTTTGCCGACATTGCGGGATTTAAATGTCCATTGCTCTGTAAGTAAGAGTGTGGGGAAGCTGCGGTAAGCGCCATTAGAGAGGCAATGGATGTAGGTTTTATAGAAAATTTTATATATGTCGGTGACCTTTCAATGACCTTTGACCTGACTAAGTCAAACCGGGTATTTTCAAATTTAACCGTGTTCTGTACCTCAGATGTTTACGAAAAATTATCAGAAGATGTATCATAGTATTGACAGTAAGTAAGGTAAAAAATATTTCTGGGGAAATTCTAACTTGTAAAGAAATATATCATCATATCAAGCCAAACGAGATATACGAACTATGCCCTGAGGCTATTTGACGAATCCCGGCTAATTTCCCGCCTCTCGTTGGCCCGATTGGGCTACAATTTGGTATGCACAATACTCTGATACCCGAACCGAGGTTGATAACCGAATTTTTGGGAAAACACGGCCAATTAACTTACCTAGTTAACAGGATATCAACATTTTATACAGCACGTATGGTTATGTAATAAAAATGAAAAAGAGCTTACTATGCCGGGCTTCCCCCGGCTTCCCCTATACCAAAAAGTTGGTATCCGATTGACATCTCTAATTCATATGATTATGCATGGAATGGGGAGCACATTTGGCGGTCATAAATGTATCAAAAAACAATGTACTCTGTTTCACATGCAAATAAAATGTAAGAACGAACTTTTAGGACAACCTGTGCTGGATGTCCAACCTAGTTACTGTCCACACCTACTACATTGAGGTGCTCTCTTTCTCTCTCTCTCTCTCTCTCTCTCTCTCTCTCTCTCTCTCTCTCTCTCTCTCTCTCTCTCTCTCTCTCTCTCTCTCTCTCTCTCTCTCTCTCTCTTTCTCTCTCTCTCTCTCTCTCTCTCTCTCTCTCTCTCTCTCTCTCTCTCTCTCTCTCTCTCTCTCTCTCTCTCTCACTCTCACTCACCCTCTTCTCTCTTTCTCTTCCTCCCTCTCCCTCTCTCTCCCTCCTCTCTGGCTGAAACTTTTATGACCCAAAGTGAAGTGATGCGAAGGGTCACTCACCGGGTACTCCCAAGGGCAGCGGGGGCAACTGGTGGGGCAGCGTGCCCAGAGCAGCGCTGGGGTACAGCGGCGGCCGGTACTTGTACGGCGACTCGTGGTTCTGGCAACAGAGGCGGTCATCAGCGTCAATGGTGCATTGAAATTAAAATGACACAGTGAGAGAATGTCCCTCTAAAAGAGACAGTACCATTTAGCGCTATGCTTGTTACGAGCGAGCGAGTGCAGCGAAGTCTTTTCAATATGTATAACGGAAAAATCTCAGTATGAGCGGCCCGGCCCGGCCCGGCCTATAACGCTTTTGAGAGGCTTATATCTCAGCAACCGCTGGACCGATTGGCCTGCGGTCTTTTTTGCTGGGTAGCCCCATCCCTTCTACCCCGTAATTGACTACTTTTGATCCAACTCAGTGACCGTTGTGGCACGTGCCACGTGAAAAGTCAAGGGTATTCAAGCTGTTTTGCAAAAGTAGTGATTTTGAGAGGCTCATATCTCAGCAGCCGCTTGGGCGATTGTCTCGCGGTAATTTTTGTAAGGTAGCTGCATCCCTTCCACCAAAGGTCGGGATACTGTTGATCTATGTGAGTGACCCCCACTGCACGTGCAAAATACAAAAAGAAGAGGTGCCAAATTTGTTCCCATTTCAATAACTCGGTAACTACTGGGGTGATTTCGCTGAAACTTGGCATACAGGTAGGCACCCACCAGGCAATGCATTCCCATGTGTTGCGGTTAGGGTGCTACTGCACGTGCGCACGTGCAGGGGGCGCTTCCAGATCTCGAGAACGGCTGGGCCGATTGCGCTCAAATTTGGTACACGGTTGGGGACCAGTTAGTAGGGTGCCGTGCAAAAGTCCGTTTGGACCCCGTTCGCACGTGCGCACGTGCAGAATGCCGATTCCAGATCTCAGGAACGGCTGGGCCGATCGCGTTCAAATTGGGCACACCGCTAGCGACCGGTTAGAAGGGTGCTTTGCACAAGCCTGTTGGAAGTACCCTCTCGCCCTTCCGCACTTGCAGGGCTCACTATCTCGCTCGCTCGTTCTTCGCCCAAAAGGCGTTTTACTGGTAATACATCATTCATGGGTTAGTAGCACAAGTTATAAACGCAAGAAGGTTGCGTACTTTACGTTTAGTGAGACTTTCGACACATTCGATAACACAAAGCAGAACCATGACACATTTCCTCTTGTTTTATTTTCTTCAGCCGCCTGTACCAGAGAAATGCATTAGTATATCGAAATAATGGGTTGTCTGACATGGTATACAGGGTGTCCCAGAATTACCCGAACATTGTTAATTAGCGTATAAAATAAGGCAAACATGATTGCGCTTTTTTCTCTTCATCGTCCTATATAGCCAACTAGGATGGCTTCGAAATGGCACATGCAATAGACACGCTTGTTACAAAGTTAGCCGACAATGATGGAAAATGCCAGCCATTGCTGGTCTCAGTTGTTTTACGGGTCTCCCTAAACTGGGTGTAGGCCTGTTTTCTGTGATCTATTGCCGGAGGATAATACGATCATATAAGATAAACTTAACATCAAAGTGTTCCCAGGCCATAAGGCATTATCCCCCAAAACAAAGCTTTTTGCTTACACCACTTTTGCCGCGTTTTTTACATCTGAAGTGGAGAAGCTCCATGTCTGAACATGGCGCGACCTTTGGCTTCCAACAGATTTGGTTTCCAAAACAAACCCGTTCATGGCCATTTGGTTCACGGTATCCAGTTTTTGTACTGGTAGAATATTACCGCAGTAGTATTCTGTGCTAACGGTGGTCTTTGGGCCATGATAGCAAGCCGGATGAGTGCACGGTGGCTCAAAATGTCTCGCAATTTGATTTTCGACGGGTGCCTGGCCGTCTCTGCTATTGGGGCGTTGTAGCCATTTGACGTTCACGCACGCCTTTTTCGGGTGGTTCAAATGACAGAATACCTTCGTTAGACTACAAAGTGTGCTTCAATATACTTTTTTGTTGTATATGTTATGTTTTTGGGATGAAGTGTTGTAAATGCTGATGTTTTAAGTGAAGCGCACGGCAACGAAACGCGCGTGAAAAGTGGGAAAACTTAGCAGATGGGTATGACCCAGATGAACAAAAGGAACAGAAAAAAATATGATTTGTGATTGATAGTGGATTTTAGGATAAGTGCGGCCATGTTTTATTTTAGTTTAATTTGCCATGAGCAACTGAATTATTGTATTTACTGTATTGTATATTCGAACGACCAAACGAAACAAATCGATCGAGCGATGTCGAATGATGCTAATGTGATTGAATGAACTCGAACGACCGTCACCGAAGCTGGATGAGGCTAACGTTTGGTAAGCTATTATTTTATATTGTTCCGTGCTTACTATTATTGATTCGCTTATTTGTTCCAGTACTTGATGTCTCCAAAATTCATTCTGAGTGTAATTTATCGCATGTTGTTTAGTGTTCATATTTCTGTCGTTTCAGAAACCGCGTGAATAAACAAAAATAAGGGCTGCACAGGTTACAATCAAAAGCGCGTTTCAAACCCCGTCAAATCGGTGACGACAGTTTCAAACGTTACCACTGGCAATAACTTAATTTTAGCATACATCACTGGCTAGTCGGTTAATGTAACGCTGTTATTGACACACATAAAAGCAGCCATGTCTGAAGCCACTGAACAGGCCAAAGAAAAACGTAAACATGCGCTAGGGAAGCTCACTCGAGTTAGGCGTAAAGCACAGATTTTGGTCGGCGCCAAATGTAATAATATTCTCAAAGTTATGTCTGAACTTGACGATGCTTTCTCAAATCTGCAAGTGACAAGTGATCGATATATTGAAACCTTGGGTGACATGGAAGCTATGAAGAAAGCCAAAGATTATGTCGCGGAGGCAGAATGTCATTATCACGACACGATGGACCAGATCGAGAAAGCGTTGGTTGAGAAGAAGGATGACGCAGAATCTGTAGCCAGTGGCTCGCAATGCTCTTCCGTGAAGTCCCACATATCCGACACGAAGAAATCTGAAATCACATTGAAAATGAAAGAATTAGAATTGCAGCAGCTCAAGAGACGACATGAACGTGAAAGAAAGGAAGAGGACTTAAGAAGAGCAAATGAACTCGAAGACGCAAGGGAGGCGCAGGCAGCCGCTGAGCTCGAAGCAAGATTGATGGTGGCTGCCGGAAGTGATCTTTCAATGGGACAGGCGAGATGATATCATAGAGAATGTGGTTGTAGAGCTGGGTGGATATCAGAACCGTCAAGGGACGGAACTCCCCCACTCAGCTGGTTCAAGCCACTCTCCTGCGTCTGCTGGCTGCCATCGGGCTACTACAACGGCAGCGACTGCAGAGCCAAATAATCACGCTAGTGCCGACAGCGGCCTTTATAGGAACCTTCCCCGTCTAGAGCTCACCAAATTTAGTGGCGCACCCGGAGAATGGCCGCGATGGTTCGCGCTATTTCAAACTCTGGTTGGTAATCAGCCCTCCTTGACAGAAACAGAAAAAATGGCCCATCTTCAGGGTGCTGTGATTGGTGCTGCTCAAAGAACTATTGCCGGAATGCTTTACGATGGGCGCCTTTATCACACAGCGATAGCAGCGCTCGAAAACCGGTACGGAAGGCAAGAGCACATTGTGCATTCCAACATGGCAGCTGTATTTGCCTGTCCAGCACCGAGCTACTTAGATCCTGAATCCACAGATCAGTTTCATGCCGCTGTTCACTCCGCCGTTTCAGTGTTGAAAAACCTGGGCTATGAGAGCGATCTGCACAGCTCTGAGAATTTGCATAATGTTGTGAAGAAACTTCCAGCTGAACTAAAGAAAGAATGGGGTCAGTATGTGCTCGATTTAGAACCGTCCAGGCCTACACTCTTGGACTTCGACGATTGGCTTCGCAGACAGGTGCGAGTAGCTATGAACTATGCGGCAGTTGCGTCGGAGGACAGCAAGCATGATAGGACACAAAGACACGGCGCCAGAGTCACATCCTCTCAGAGAGCTACCCTGAGCACCGAAGTGGGTTATAATAGATCTTGTGTATCCTGTGGAGAACAGCATAAACTTGATAATTGTCCCTTATTTCTGGAAAAGGACATAAACAAGAGAGCAGAGTTTGCCCTTGCTTCAGACATCTGCTTCTACTGTCTGAAAAGGGACCATAAGGCACGTTTTTTGCAGAATAGCCAAGCAGTGTGCCATTGATGGTTGCAGAATGCGTCATCATCATTTGCTGCATGGCAGCCAAAGGTTAAATCGACCCATAACGGGCGCAGAAACAGGCAGCTTTGAACCTGCGACTGACAGATCCAACACCCGAGTTATCGCCGCAGCATCCAACACAGGCCAGGGCACGGCTGTTTTACTACAGGTGGACGTGGTGCGGTTACGAATTATGGGACGGGACGGACGGTCCCGAATTGTAAATACGCTTCTTGACCCTGGCTCACAGACGTCTCTTTGCTGTGAAGAAGTCCTCCGTGATTTGAAAATAAAGGGCGAGAAGCAGCGACTACAGCTCAAGACGGTAAGAGGTCGCGAAAAGGAGCAGATGTCACAGAGAGTTACACTGTCTCTTATGCCCCTGCATGAAACATACGCGAAGGCTATCACCGTTCCGGAAGCATTTTCAGTGGCCGATTTGCATGTTAGAGCGCCAAGCTTTGAGAGGCGCAAGCAAAGTTGGAACCATGTTCAAGATCTTGACTTGGCCGGGTATAATGGGCAGAAGGTGGAGCTGCCTCTGGGTGCCAATGTAATTGAGGCAGTGCTTCAACAGGATGCCAGAGTGGGCAAACCTGGGGAGCCAGTCGCCGTCAAGACAGCGTTTGGTTGGGCGCTCAACGGTTCGCTGCAGGGTTTTGTTCCAGAGCGTGTAAGGCAAGTGATGTTAGTGCAAAAGCCGACGCCGGAACATGCCTCTGATCAACTTCAAGAGTGGTGGAGCACTGGATCTTTTGGGATGAAATACGGTTGCCAGTTGACCATGTCTGCTGAGGACAGACGAGCTGTGAACATCCTGAAACAGACAACCAGAAAGATTGAAGGCCGATACGAAGTAGGACTTTTGTGGAAAACTGATGAAATCCAATTGCCAAACAATTATCAGAC